ATGAAACGCGTTGGCACTAAACGGTCTACCATCTGCTGCATTTGGTGCCCTGAACCATAAATCATTCTAACAATTATGTATGTAACCATGGGCCCAGAATCAGAAACCTGAAATATTATTTAGATTTTCTTTCTTTACGCTGTGCATTTTCGTCGTATAAATGTTTTATATCATTATTTTTTTATCGAAGCCTTTCCCAGAACATTTGGGATATATTTTGTAGAAAATGTTTTGTTTTTCAATTTTTCATTCCTATTTCCATTGGAAAATAATTACTTATTGAAATCAAATTTATGTTTACGCCTTTAATAAAACTAACAGAAATAACCTTTACAACATGTTAATACACCGTTGTGTGCATGTACTGCAAACAAGTAAGCAATAACGTGGATGGGTTACGTAAAATTTGCATTAAGCATAGATTATCCGCAATATGACTAAGTTAAAGTCTATCTGCATTTTCTAAACACGGCTGTTATTCGTTAGTGACTCTGAGATATGAGTGTTCTTTTAACAGTAAAATATTGGTACTTCATTTGACTCACAAATAGCCCTTACCAGAGGGAGCCAAAATTCTGAAAGCATCGTCCCCTTTGACGTGACTAAAATTTTATTTGCAAAGCAATACGTATTACTTCCACACAAAAAGAAACCCTGATGGCTAGCTGCTGCCTCTTTGCACCCATTATTATTCTAGACGCCACCTGCTGCCCCGTCGCCACCTTCACATGTAAACAAGCAAATGTTGGTGATAAACTGAAAGGTGATAAAGCGCAGAAATTTTTAAATTAGAACTTGCTCATTTGTTGTACTCTGCTCTCAGCTTTAATCGCCGTTCATAGTGAGTTCCCGCTAGAGGAAAGTCGATATGTAAAGGCTTGTTGTCTGCTTTGACGCTACGCGAACGCACCACACATAACTACATTACTCCTTACATCTTATAGAGATTAGATCGCATCTAACTTTGCCCTGATTCTTTGCAAATAAACTTGGACGATGGTCCTGATTTGTTTACTCAGATTATCCTTGTTATGAGTATATTTGCACGAGTCGAAAAGAGGTACGTCAGTTAGACGTCTTTTGACGTATAATAGGTCCCAGTTACAAACGCAGCGATGAAATATTTTTAGATTTTTTTGATTTCCACGATATATACATGATAATCGTTTGATGGAGGGCCCTTAGAATGAACAGTGGACACCAAAAGATATTATCCATGGCTACAGTATAAAGTACAATGACAATGCTTAGGTTCAGCAAAAAATTAAGGGATACTGTAATGAAAAACCTTTTGCAGCAACTTCTGGAATATAACGTCATTTTTATGACTCTGGAAGCCGCCGTATATTGGTATCGCTAAATGACCATGCTTCTATTGAGCTCACTTATTCAAGATGATTTGTTTATATAGATGTGAAGTCAATCACATACTAGCTTTTCATAAGGCTCAAGCTTAGATAGCAAAAGTACTGCCCTTCATTTTCATTTTCCCAGTGGCTGTCACATGCTTACGCTACTCACGACCTCAAAAATTGGGGTCGTCGATGAGCGCAAGTATCCAACAGACGTGTACCGAGTTACGCGTAGACTTGAGAAAGAATTTCAGTCACTTATTCCAATGAGTCATGTGCTGTCTTGCAAGTCTGATGGCAGCGATTGTTTGAGAGACTGTTTGAACTGTTCGACATATCGATGTCATGGCTTTCACGCAAAGTCGTGAGACTGTAGCATTTCGCCTTCTCGTCCATTCAGTCGCACACCAATTTCACAGTTGTATCCTGAAAAAATGGACTGGATCGGTAGTCTTATTTCACGTAAGCAGGCATAGCCGTTCGTCACAGGGTCTGTTGCGCTAGAGAGCCATTCCGTTAGCGGTTTGAAGATTTATTGCTGCTTGAACACGAGTATCTCCTGTTGCGGTGACAGCAAGGAACCGGTGGAAAATCCCATTCCAGTAGATTGAGACGGAGATGCTGTCCGCGGAATTTATCACTCGTTGCTTCAGACTGGGGTTGCTTAGCCAGTAGAGGTCAGACTCAGAACCATGAGGTGCTGGAGTTGAGCCCCGCTACGAGTGATCGTCTTTTCCTCCCGATAAACGCTGGGAAACAGAAGCAAGAGACTCCACATTATGCCTGTCATATAGATGATGTCAACTCTGCCTTAAAAAAGCACTCCTGACTGATGGCATGGAAATGAAGATCAGCGCCTCTACCATTAATGTCGTGAAGAGAAGGACGCCGGAATAGCCCCATCATGAGCGTTTAAGGATGACCAATGTCAACTATTCCTCAGCGATGCATACCAACGACCAGTAACTTTCAAAAACGCTCAATTTCCCTGAAGCAGTTGGGCTGGATGAAGGTTGAGTACACGTCAGCAAGAGTTCTCGAGGCTTAGCACCCGAAATCTACTGCCGAACAACCACTTGCCAAAAATCGCCAACAGGAAAAGAAAACCGAGAAAGTTGAAGGGGGCACCGCG